TGGAGAATACGTCATTGCATGTGTAATCTCTTTCCGTCAATAAAACCATCTGATGTAGGATTAGATGGAAGTGGTGCAGCCATTGGAAAGTTTTGCCCAAAGGCAGAAATGTCCATGGGTGCACAGAAATCAAAGGCTACAACTACAAAAAAAATGGAATGTCAGATTGTTGTTGTGAAATGTCAGATTGTTGTTGTGAATTCAGAGCAGTGAGCTTTCACTTACGTGTGTGATTTGGTGGTACTACCTCGGTGATTTGTGCTCTTTCATCAATTGCATTTAAGTGCCTCATGTTGGGCGGAGGAGTGAAAAGTGGTGGTAGAGAGCTTAAGCTATTATTATTGGTCTGACTTTTAAAAGGCCTGACAGGTCGGTTCAACTTTGAGGTTGTAGCCCTTTTGGTGCGGGTTAGGGGTGGTGAGGTGATTCGAGTAGAAGTTGAAGGGGTAGATTTGGATTTCTTTCTAGTGGTTTTGCTCAATGAATATCTAGCAGTACCGAGAGAATTGTCACTACTGAAGTAATCGTCAAGCTCCTGATCTGAAATAGTCAGTTCTTCCAAAGCTTTTCTTTTGCCTCTTTTAGTCTTAGCCGTAGTCGCTGAGGTGAGAGGTCTAGCGATATTGGGATGGGCGGAATAATACTTTTCAGCAAGGAAGATAAGTTCAAGAGCTGGTTCGCCTTTGGTGGTGTCTAGCACTGCCAGCATTAAAGAGGTTCCCAGATGGGAATACGGGTCCTAGTGATCAGATTCCCATTCTGCTACTGTTACACAGTTCCATGAATATTTCCTGAGTAGCCATTGTGATATATGTAGTCAATATTTTGAAATGTGCGTCTCAATCTGAACAAAGTTACAGCATGTATTACACATGATTTTCTTATCTAGATGAGCAGATAGCTGAGCGGACCTGTATGTAGCTGATAGCTAAGGATTTACTCAGATGTTTGCACATATGTAGTGTATGCTTTATGGCTCAGATGTGCAGTGCAAGATGATTTGATTCTCCATTCTTCTCTCAATGATATTCCCAGCCTAGGTCATGTTCCGACCAGGGAACCTATTTAATGCTGGCAGTGTAGGTGATTACCAAGGACTTCATCATCGTGCAAAATACAGGGTGGCATTTTACCTTTGCCAGGCTTGGCCAGAGAAAACCATTGAGGATCGTATTCAAGAGGTGGTTGAGGATATTTGTTGTCAGATACCGGTGTGTGGTCCCAAAGGTCAACAATCGCTTTCTTTGTTGGGGCTAAGATAGATCTAAGATTCCTATTGACATTAACAATTCCACGGACCAAACTGTGGGTGGATG